TTATATATATTTTTTTTATATTCAAAAAATGTAAACACATCATTATTTTTAACAATACACATTACATACATTACACGCATTCAAATATGCGTAAATTATATTTTTTAATCATGTTTTCTAAGTAACATTCTCCGCTCAATTAACTAATGCACATAATTATTGAATAATCGAACAAAAAAAAATAAAATAAAATAAAATAATATTATATGAATTAAATGTTGTTGAAATTTCAGTATAGAAAAACTTACTATTTATCAATAAATCAATTATTGTTCATAACTCAAATCATTCATTCATCATTTTATTGATGGACTGAATCAAAATTATTGATAATGATATATTTATATGGATTTTTTTTAAACATGTTCAATCAAATGTTTTAGCATATTAATAGTAAATTAGATTAATGTATTCCTTAATAGTTTTTTTTCAAAACATAACGCTGTAATTCCTTATAACGATTTACATAAATTATTTTAATTAAGTATCTTGAGTAGTAACTTAAATGTTTGAAATATAGTTATTAATTATTTATTAAATTTATTAAAATTGTCTTTCCATATTACTTACTTTATTAAGTATAAAAGTCATTATTTATTTTTTTTTATTTCGAGAAAGCTTACGATTAAACGAATCTTAATTTACTGATTAATAAATGGAATTTAATATGCAATCATTTGGAAGCTTTAGGGTGTGTATCGAATTCGTATACGATTCTGAGAGAATAATATAGTATTCAAAATTAGAACATGTTAAACATCGACATAGTTTGTTCCTCCTTGAGTACTTGTGACAATGTTGAGAAAATGGAAATTACCGTAATTTTATTCAGGATATTAAGTAGAAACGTGCTAATTATCCTACAGTTGTCTAAATGCTAATTTAAGAGACCGAATCATTACTTACAAGTACCGAAATACGGTTTGTTTTACATTTTAATATAGAATTTAGCTTAGTTATTATCCAAATGTATACTATTATTATAACTATGATTTTATAAAAAAATAGATAATTTATCATTAAAAAGTAAAAACCAAATGTTTAATATTTATTTGTTTTTGTTTTTGTTATATTTTTATTCTTTATCAGTATACCTATAATTATAAAAAATTAAAACACCACAGACTACAAATTTTAAAGTAAATATTATTACCCACTCTTTGTCTCTTGGAAATAGGTTTTAAACAGAATAATAACAAGTGCATGATATAGGTAATGGTGTATATTTTTTATTTTTTATTTTTATTTTTTTTTTAATTTGCCTTTGCGATATTTTTGTTTTAAGAGAATATTATTTTCCTGGTTCATCACCTAATATAACTAATCTTTGATTTTTAGACGATAATGATAAATGCTATTTATCGGAAGTATTCGATACTCATAATAGAGATTTAGCGTTATACCTTTACGTTTGATGGATTAAGTCGGATTTCAAAAAAATATTATTATCCCTCTTGTCAAAAAACTTTGTAACTCTGATAATGCATTTGTAAAACAGGCTCAACAATAACCAAGAAGAATAATATGAGTGCGCACATATCTATATAAGAATGTGATTTCGTTTCATTAATGTACGAGTTCATAATAGCCCTTTTAAAACTACAAAATAATCAAGACATTATCTTATAATAATTATTAGGAATTTATAGCAAAAAATATTAAAGCAATCGTGTTAATATAATTATTGTTTGATATCTGTTAAATATTAATCGTTATACGAAATATAAAGTAATATAACGTTTTACCTAAATCAATACGATTGGGACACTGTATAATCGTTAAATAAATAATAATAATGGGTCATATATAATTTTATTAAATATATGAGTACTTATTATAATTCATAAAAACTATTTTTTAGTGTTTGTTAAAATATATTGTTCTACTTCTTAGACTATTTCAATTATTTCATAAACTAAGTTTTTAAGTTTATTCAATATATAAAATCGTTAAGGTTTTGAAATGTTTAAAATTGTTCAAAATTTAAAAAGAACCCCTTAAGAATGGTCAAGATTTTAAATGTGTATAGTGAGGTAGGTATGATATATCTTGGATTTCATTTACATTTAACTAATATAAATAATATTGTATAATTTTATATATTTTACAGGCTGAATAATAAAATAAAATAATAATGAATAATCAAATAAAATATGAAATATAATTACAATTTTAAAAACACGTCGGCTGAATAAGCCATTGTAATTTTTATTAATTGGGTATTTCATTTCTTCGCAAACAACCACCTTACAAACAATAGTCGATTAAATCGAAATAACTTTTAATCTATTTCACTAAGTATAAAGTAGTATTGTGTTTATTAGTATCGTGAAGCAATTCGAGAATTTAATTAGTACTTTGAAATGTATTGACCAAAAAAACAATGGTGGGATTGTGATCGAACAGAACTTTTGTGTCGATACCGTAAATTCAATTCTTCTCCTATTAAATGCATACCCTCGTTTTATGAGTAAATATTATATAAATGGTACATTGGTAGTATTCGCTATTTTTGCAAACGATTAAACGAGAAAATAGTTCACACAATAGAATACATAGTGAATTATGACTACTTACAGTACAATAAACCTGTGCGAATAAAATCAAAAATATTTTATAAACGTAACCGATCTATAATGTAATTTATACTCGATAGCTCGTAAAGTTGTTGTTTATTTTTAAACGGCACTGGAGTGAAGATATTTTTCATTAATTCAAAACTAGATAGTAAATTCTTCTTCTTTTTCTCTATAACCTTTCTCCTAAATATTTAGGATCGGCCATCCTTGACAATTATTATTAATAACTCATATATAAAAGTGATTCATATAGTATAGGCAATAAATTATAATTTATTAATTGTAGTATTTTTGTTTTATATGAATTAAAATATGTATACTATATAAAATTTTGAAGTCACTATGATAGTGTTCTTAGTTATAAATACATCTAATTAATAGTTGTAAAATAATAAATAAATTTAAATCAAGGAATATATGTAAGTTAATAACTTTTGAAAATTTTTCTAAATATGTTTAAACAAATTATAATATAATTTGTACAATGCACTATTTAAGGAACATGTCTATACAATTTTCCACTTAAGTTAGTAGGCGATTTAGTATTTGCTACTATAGCTTTAAATTTAACTTTTTATTTTTATTTTTTATCATTACAAAATATTTTATGAAATGTTCATGTTATATTTCGAGAAAATTAATTTTATGAAATCTTAAAACTCTACATATACTTATTATACATATTATGTTACTAGCAAAGTTTTGAATTTGTTATTATATTGAAGCTATTCTATACATAACCTATAAGAACCATATAAAATGTTTATTTAAAATTATACATTACTACATTAGTAAATACTATAAGTAATAACCACATAAAAAATGACGTTAAGAATCAAAGATAGAATAAATCTTGAAAATCATGCAGTTAAAAAAAAAAACATTTTAAACAATTTAAACAGCAGAATTTGGTATTACATTTGGAGTTCCAGTACTCGATGTGGCCAAAGAATATAGAGGTGTACGATATATTTTTATTGTTATAGAGATAAACCTAAATTAATCCATGGTTATTGAGTTGTTAATTATTTAATAGTTTAATAAATAAGAAGATAGTTTGTTCATAAAAATAAATATATAAAAAAAAGTAGCCTGGAGTATTAATATATTTGTAAAGTACGGCCAGTTTCTAATTAAAAATTCATCATCAGATATATACAATGTTTATAAAATTGCGATTGAATATGAAAAAATAAAATTGTTCCACTTACCATTTATTAATTTTTAATTTTAATTACATTTTTTATTATTTTATTATTAATTATTTATTATTCGTGATAATTTTAATGATATTTCAGATAACAATTGACGGGTATTATTGTTTAGAATCCAGGGAAATGATTGTAAATGTATTTATAATCAAGAACTTCATTCATAATATGCCGAAAAAATTGAATAACGATAAACGAAGTTCCATTGGAAATTACATTTGCTTTATTGCTACATAAAAACAATAAAAATTTAAAAAAAAACAATATTGTAGGCAGTTCAAAATATCACGTATCAACTGTATGATGCTGTAGTATACGGATAAAACAATGAACTAAAGAAATGAACATTTTACAATACGTACTAACGTAGCAATGGCAGTCTATAGAAATGTTAGGAATCCTATGGATTTCCTAGGCGTAATTTATAACAATATTAAAATGTATACAATATAATACAAAGCGCCAAATAGTACAAGGTGTTTAATAATAAACACCTATGTACAACACGTTTATATATATAAATGTATTGCGCTTTCCACGGGGTTTATTGGCATACGGCGCAGACAGGTACACGGTTGTAAACTAGAAATATTCTAATACCGCACGGCGGAAAATGCATTACCGGTGCACGTAGGTATTCGATGCGACCATGTGGAATCCGCCAAGCACTCGATCGAATTGACGCCAGACATTTGAAAGCCCCAAGCACATTTGAACACAACTCGTTTCCCGTACGTATCGTTGTACTCGACCATAATCAACCGAGAATCGTCCACGTTGATCGGTGGACATTTCACCATGATGCAGTCCGGCGGCGAATTTGACCAGTCTCCTGTACACACAATATAATTAAATTACAACGGGTTATAACGATGTATATATCAATGTACAGTAATAAATCATCGCGCGTTCCTCTGGTTGGATTTAATTCGCATAATAATACATTTTGTCGTTCGTCCTCGCTGCTGCCCTTATTTTTCGGGTGTGACTAAGTAACACAACTGATGATAATAAGCAACGAACGATCAAACCGTGAAACGGATTCCATACGATAATAGCTACGCGTGGTTGTGGTATACACTTTTAAGAAAATTATTTATTTTTTAAACATGACCGATGAAAGTACAATTAATATATAAATTATATGGGATTTACATTTGTTACAGTTGTAGAATTATAAGAAGAAATATTTTTATTTTTTTTTTTTATGAAAATAAAAATTAATAAATAATAATATGAATAGTAATTACTAAAAACTAAGTAGATTCAACATTTAATGATGCTGTGGCTTAAATCAAAATCATCGACAGAAATTCTATTAATCATCTTGAGATGTATTGTTATTCGTATTCGCGAAAATGGAATATAATTTTTTCCGTATCAGTTTGAAAGATGTAAATTAATATTATCGTTCAATCAAATAACATAAAATCTTTTTAAAATATAATGAATGTCGCTAAAGACTTAACGTTCAAGATTTTTTAATTTTAAATTGGTTTGGACATCGAGCGCTAAGATGCTCGCAATTAATAAATATTTATAGTTAAACTCACTGCTTGAAAAATAATATGAGATCCGTGCAGTTTTCCGTTCATACATTTTGATTTGATTTTAACTCTGACGTAATACTACGGTTTTTATGAAAACCAGATGAGTTTTAAAAATTCATTAATTATACACTAACTACACAATTTCACTCTGTGTCTATTTTCCCTTTTCATTTTCCAACGAAAAGATTCGTGCGCGCATACCGATAAGATATTCTACATCAGATTTTTATGAGATGTATGCGAATTCGCAAATAAAAGGGTGATAAATGTATATTTGAATCCGTCCCGGTTGCCGGAGGGGGGCTGAACGCTGCGAAGGGACCTGGTAAAAACCTCGATTTGATCGACGTGTCTGCAATGCGTTTTCTTTCGCCCTGTCAAATTTCAAAGTTTCTACATCGCCACCGCTACCGTTGCCCGAGGGCTTCTTTTATTTTTCCTTTTTATTTCCTTGGTAGGACGGTGGGTGGCGTGCAGACGAGTGTGGATGGGAAATAAAGAAGAGGAAACCGATAGACGTGCTTTTCAGTAGGAACTGCACTCGATCAATCATTCACACAGCCCCGGCTCCGCGGCATAAACTCCCTGTAAAGTTAAGTGGATTTGTGTTCGGTATGCCTGTATTATACCATTAAGTACCATTCAATCACCGAGCACACGTGTCGATGCTATTATTAAACCAAACGTTTACCCAAACCCTATGCCGTTACATCACGTTGGCGGTGTTATTGCCATAAATGGTACCAAAACACTTTATCATATTTTTAACATCCATTTACGTACCAATTTTACTCGTACACCTTCAATTATACGTTTTTACGTTCGTACAATTATTATACACGAAATGGTTTTTGATTATTTATAAAAAAATATTTGAATTAAAATTTAGAATAAGTTATTCATTTATTCTTGTCAGACTTCTGTTTGTTATTCTCGAACGCGAAAATCAATATTTATGAATAGATATTTTATACTCAACGATTATTTACAATAATTTTTATAATTTTTTCCAAATAAAAATTACATTTTTATTAAAACGTATACTCGTGTGAAAAAATAGGAATATAAATGTATAACATCTGATATTTTGTCATTTTTTGAAATATTTAAAAATGTTATAATATTTCAACAATATAGTGTAATTATGAAAACATTTTTAAATGTGACTTATTATATATTTTGTGAAGATACACATAGCTACGTTATACGTTAGCATACAACCGTATTGATATTCATTCATTTTACATTCAAGTTTTTATAATATAAGTTGACACAGTATAAAATAAATAATTTTATGAGATAGAAACTCAAATGGTATTTAAAAAATTGATTTTGTTGGAATGACATGCACCTATGAGTCTTATATGCACTACGGTGTGTCGTTATAAGACAATTTTTACTGCTGTAAACACTGTAAAATATAAATATTTGTAATACTGTAAAATACTCATATGTTATGTTTTATAATTATAATAGAAATTCATCAATATTATTATATTGGTTAACTAAATTCAAGTATCTATCTAAGTACATATGTCTATTATTTTTTATTTTATATACTTAGTATAACCGACTTATTATTAAATATATGTACGAGTATATTGTTTATTATATTCTATATAGTAAAGTAGAATTAAATGTATTTGTTATTTTAACTAAAATACTCAATAACTAGAAAAAACGGAATAGGTTGGGACTTAGAAGGAATATCAAGTATTCTTTATTAGAGCCTGCATTCATGTTATATTTTATGATCTACGTGATATCGAAGTATGCAATATATAGCTGAAAAAATATAGAGCAAATATTAAAACAATTGATATTATTTTGTGTGATAGTAATTTTATGAACATTCATTTATGTATGATGTATCAAAATCGACATGGAAAGAGAACAATCAAATGCGATTTGTTGCAATATGGATGACCATTGAAGCATTGACAATACAATCATAATTCATAATTTTTTTTTACATTATATATTGCTTATATTTACGAATAATAATACATTTTTTTTTTTTTTATTATGAAAGAAACGAGGAACATATATTGGTTTTACAATTTTTTTTTCCAGTTGAATATTTTTTTATTTACAGGTTTTTGATTAGAAATATTCAGATTTTTTTCTATTCTATATTTTTTTCTTTCTTAGTAACCGATTTTGTCTAGTTGTTATATTCCAGTGATTCATTTTTTGTCCTTCTCAAAAGTTTTCTAAATAATTGATAAAAACTGACCAAAAATGATCATAAAAATGATATAATTTACGGGATACCGGTAAAACGAGTTATCTATTTCCAAGTAAACGATTGATTTGGTCGTGCGCAAACGAGTCGTCGATTTTCAGGTAAGAAATTTTGAATGTGCGCAAACGAGTTGCAGCGGTTATATACTTATACTTGTACAGTCAAATAAACTATCTTTAGACATATGGATTAATACACTGTCATTTCTTCACTTAGAATAATTTTTCAAAACTAATGGTACATTGATTTAAAATGTATGAAAACAACAATTTACCTAACCATTCACCTTTTTCTGTACCCTTATCATTATTTAAAAATATGCATACTAAGTACTTTATAATTTATCTAATAAATGATATGTATCTCTATTTTATAATTTATAATATAAATTATAAAAGTTAAAAATGAAAATCACTATTTAATAACCATGTAATTTTCTCATTATTTTATAAATCATGCAAGCTTATAAAATAAATTTATAAAATCCTCAAACATTGCATGTAAAATGTTTATAGTAAAAAAACAATTTACGAATACTTGCTTATACGTAAACTATGTATATATATATATAAAATGAGTATACGCATACCTAATATGTGTACTGTTTATTATATATTTATCTGGTTATTAAATTGCAACGTACTCATTAAACTGTACCTTTTTGATTGACCATACCTTATTAAAGTTACATACAGAATACTTAATATTTTAATAATTTTAATTAAAATATTCTACTCTGTTTATGTAAATAGTTTTGTTTGATGTCAATTTTTTCATATTGCACTGTTTTGAGGCAATTTACATCATCTGGTGTAAAACATACGTAATTGGATAAAATTATTAGTGGAATGATATTACATTGAAAAATAAAAAATCACTATATAAACGCAAAAAATATTGGAAAAAAAAGATGAGATTAATCATTATGTTATACTTAATTAAATAGTAATTAAACAATCATAATTGATAAAAATTTATTTGTCCATATAATCTAAAACTGTATGTATTTTTTAATTATTTTTCGCTTCTAATATATTTTACAGTAGCAGAAATCATTATTTTATTAGTTTTTAGAATATTTATTTCTACAATTTAATTAATTATATACAATATTATTTCTACAACGAAAACATTTTTAATTGTAAATAATACAATAAATATCATTTTGGAAAAAATCTTTTTTTGATAATTCAAATAACACTGGTTATGTACTAAAATGTATATGACATAAATCGTAATTAACATAAAACACTGACTTTTAATTTTACAATGCATTATTTTGTTTCGTTGGTTACACGAAGATTTAGTTATTTTATTTGTTCATTTTAACGGAAGATATATTCAATGGGATTATAATGCAATAGTACTTTTTTAGTAAAATCTATAATATAGTATACTTTGATTACCAAAATGAACCAATATAATTTATACTCACGTAATAATATTATTATATTACCCATAATTAGGTAAATACAAAGGGCTTTGCTTAATAAATATTTGATCATAGAATCAAATATTTCACTCAGTTTAGTTTCTAAATAAATAATCAATAATGACTTCGTTAAAGGTTTACTGCAAAGGAGTTCGTACATACGTTTCCATAAATAAAATTATACGGTTGTTGTTAGTTCAAAGTGCTTAAGATTTATTACCTACACATAACATACTTACATAAAATAAGTGGCTAAATAATTGAATTAATTTAAATTATTAGGGTTACGATAATATCAACTGTTAAAAGGCAAAAAGAGCAAAGCGACTTTTTGCGAATAAGTGATAAGGTCCACACTACGGGATAATCAACAGTTAAAGCATTAGATCGCACAAGCGTTATTGTTTCTCTGACCATTTAGTAATTATATATTTAATTTATGAATTTCGGTACAAGCAACATTTACGAACAGAAACGTAATAAAAGTAAACGTAAACATTATTTTTAGGTTAAAAGCGACAAATACGTGGACTTGGTCTCTTATTATATTTCTTTTCACCTTTTATAATGCTATTATTGTCATCGTTATACTGATCAGTAGGTGA